ACAGACGAAGAGCTCGCGTGCCCGGGCGCAGGGGTCGACGGCTTGGACGCGGCGGGCGTCGGCGGGCGGCGTACGTGCAGGTCCGCGGGTGAGAGTGCGGGTGAGGCGAGGACGTTGAAGGACGCGTGTTGTTGCGGGGCGGGGGCGGCGATTGTCGACCCTCCCGCTGCTGCGGAAGACGAGGACGAGGACGCGAGCGGCCCAACGAGATCCACCTCAATAGTCTCCTCCGCATCCCTCGACCGCTCCCACTCGCCCTCCTCGCCCGTCGCCGTCCCTGTACCCATACGCGGTTCCCCTCCCCCCGCTTGCTGACTTCCCGCGTGCGAAGCCGACGCCCCACCGCCCTGCACCCCCGCCCTCAACTCGTAAAGCACCGGACTAAACCGCACCGCGACGCTCGCCTTCTTGTGTCCCGGCAGTTGCGCAACAGGCGGCCTTGCAAAATTGGCGCGCGAATAGATGTACACGGACGACGCGGAGCCCGTTTCTGGTGGTGTCGTTGTAGAGGCGGGTGCAGGCGCCGGTGTAACCGAACTCGACGCAGAGGCAGGGGTGGAAGTCGATATAACAGGCCGCGCCTTCCGCCCTCTCGCGGGCGTATCCCCGGCGTCCGGCGTCACGCTCCCCGCGCCCGCGCCATGTGCACTTCCCTCCCCACCCGACGTCGAGGCAGCAGTCGTCGCACCCCCCGTCCCCTCCCACCCGGCCACACTCGCACTCGGGTCCTCAAACGTCCCCGCCGGCGTCAACAGTAGCGCCCCATCGGGACTAAACGCCAGTCGCCTAAAGAAATTGCTATAGCTCTCGTCGCCGTACAGCCGCGTCCCTGCCTCGGGGTGTCGGCGCTCGTCGTACGTGTCGGGGGCGTAGCGCGCTGAGGAGGAGGAAGACGCGTCGGCGTTGGGATACCGGGCGCCCGACCCTCCGCGCTCCCGACTTCGTGTCCGCTCCTCGTACCCGCCGTGCCGCGCCCAGCCAGCGCCTGAGCTGGGCGGCGTGCGGATCGCGGGAAGAGCGGGCATGGGCGAGGGGGAGCGACCGAACCGCGAGAAGCCCGAAACGGCGGAGAAACCTGCAGGGAAAAGGAAGGTTAGCGAATGGGAAGAGAGAAGGCATAAGGAGAATAAAATGATAAAAATGTTGGGAGGGACGATGGAGAAGGAAGGAACGGAAGGGGTGGGGAAAGAGGGCGAACGAAAAGGGAAAAAACGATCACAGAAATGCGCAGACAAGCCCCAAAACCAAAGCCAAAAAACTCACCAGGCGAACTCGGCGCATTACTCCCGCTGAACGATGACCTCCGACTTGACGGCCCCGCCCCCGCCCCCGCCGGCGGGGGAAACATACTACTACTCGCCCCTCCCTTCTCTCCCTTCTCCGCTCCAGCCGCGATATACGAAGCCACCGACGCCGGCGTCCCCGGCGCCGGCATCTCCCACTCGCCCCCAGCCCCGCCTCCGGTGCGGTCGCTCTCCATCGACGCGCTGCGCATCCGCTGCACCTGCGGGCGCTTCCACTCCGTGCCCGCGGGCGTGTTGAGCGGCGTCCCCATGCCCATGCCGCCGGTGTTGGTGTTGATGCTGGGGAGGTGGGCGTGCGCGTGCAGGGCTGGTGTCGGTAAACTGAGTCCACCGAGGTCGTCGCGGTGCACTGAGGGTGTGCGGCTGTGCGCTCGTCCTCTCCTCGCGTCGTGGGAATGGGAGTGGTGAGAGTGGGAATGGGAGGGAGCGGGAAAGCGCGTGTTGCGGCCGATGGCGTGGGCTTCGAAGGTGCCCTGGAGAACCGGGGGTTAGTACGAGGATGCAGTGAGTGGAAGCGGAAGGAGAAATGTAGAATATAAATATGGTAGTCCAGCTCGGTCTGGCCGCGTGTGTGGACGCCCACGCTACTTGCCAGAAGACGACTGACAACGACTTGCCCATGTACCTGTCCCGCCCAGCCGATGGCGCGGGAGCAGGGACGAAATGGGATAACCCTAGTCGCGACCGGTCGAAAAGGGGGAGCGAAAAGAAAATCTGCCTCGGGGGCCGGGCAGCGGATCCACAGAAAGATAACGAGTAAATAGTCGAGAAATAAAGAAAATACGACCACGGAGGTTCTGCGGAATGCCAGTTTGAGGCGCCAACCGAGAACCAACCGAGGAATATGCCAGAGCGAAATAGACGCAACGACAAAGAGAAGACTGTACGATGAGCCCAGAAAATATTGGCTGAATTGCCCTGCGCGAATTCCCACCCCGAGATGGACGCGTCCGCATCCAGCATCGTATCGACAGCGCCGGGGTCGGTCAGAAGAACGGACGGACGAACGCGCACGCCGCGGCTCGTATTTCGAGACAGGGCGGCGGCGGAAACCAATCATACCGACACGTCGCTACAGTGCCGCCAGCGCACGGGTGGTAGGCACGGTCCCCCTCGCCACTCATAAACAGCGTGAGGGAATGACCCGAGCATCCCAAGGCGCTGACGCGCAGCGGCAAGACCGAGTAGAAGCAAAGAAAGGCGCGTCCGCGTCCACCGCGTCCGCGCCCTAAAACAAGCGCCGCGCCACAACATAAACGCGTCCCACAGCGCCAAATCTCGCCAAAACCACGAAGTGATAAAAACGCGCCGACGCGATAGAAATAGAAGGAGCAAACCCACCTTATCGCCCCCATGCCCGTGCTGGGTAATCCTGTACACATGCATGGCGCGGTCGGAGGACTGCGTGGCGAGGTATTCATTGAGGGGGTCCCAGGCGACGCCCTGGACGAAGTGGGTGTGGGAGGCGAGCTCGAGGAGGGGGCGGCCTGCGAAAAGGGGGGTGCGTTAGCGCCGAGCATAAAAATGGGACGGGTTAGACGGGGAAGGGAAGAAAGGATGGGGAGCAAGAACGACGCGACTATACACCCTGCCCAGGAGGACGAGCAAGGAGAAGAGAAGAGGAACGACAACACGCCACCACCCACGACGCGCCACACAGCGACGCGCGCCCACACCCACACAACTCCACGCAAGCCAGATTCGAAAGCGACAACTCACCATCAGCACTCGCAAACACTCTCCCCACATTATCCGTGCTCCCCGCGACCAAGAACTCGCCGCTCGGGCTCCACGCCAGATCATACACCTGCATCGTCGTGCACCTAAACGTCGTCCGTGGCTTCCAGAATTCTTTCTCGAGCTGCGGGTCGGCGTCGGAGGAGGATGAGGCAAAGGCGGAGTGGGCGGGTGGGGTGAGGGAAGGGGCCCAGATGATGACCATGCCGTCGTCGCCCGCGGAGGCTATTAGTTCGCCTGTAAAAATTAATAAATAAGAACAAATGGAGAGTGAAGGGAAGACGAGGAAGACACACCATTAGGCGAGAACCTTACAACGTTCACGGCGGCAGAGTGACGGCTGAGGGTGGCAAGGTACTCGACGCGCGCCGGGCGCGGCTTCTCTTCACCTTTCTCTTGTGGTTTATCCCCAGGCAAGACGGCGCGGATATTGGGATGCACCATCCACACGCGCACATGGTTGTCCTCCCCCGCCGTCGCCAGCCGGTACGCCTGTGCCGCCCACTTCTCCCTCTCTGCTTGCTCCCGCTCCCTTTCATCCTTGTCCTTGTCCCCGGTGGTAGTATTACTGGAAGAAGACGCAGGGCGCGCCTTTTTGAACGGCACAGGCTGAAAGTCGCAGGATGAAATGGGCTTGGAGTCGTGCCACCGAATTTCGAGCGTGCGGAAACGCATCTCTTCTCTTTATTCCCTTCGTCTTTGTTCAATTTTCCTTCGCCTTTGATTCTTCCTTCGTGCGAGTATTCCTGAGTACCCAGACAGCGACGAGAACGAGGGCCACAGGCGAGAGCGCGGCGTGCGTGTGGGCAGACGAGGTTGAGAGCGAGTGATGAAAGCTGCCCGTGCCGTTAACGCCAACAGTTACGGCACTTCTCCATCCGGCAGCTGGGTTGAATTCGCACGGAACGCCACAAATTGCGCGTTAGGGCCACCATAAGGTACGCCTTCGCAGCTGTACTTAAATATAGGGACATTCGCTGCCCATGAATTTTCAAGGGCTCGAGTTTGCAGAGAGAAACAAAGAAACAATATAATATATTTAGGCAACAGCACAAACGGTACGAGGCAGGGAGGAAGGTCGAATGTTCAGAATTTCCTCATCCACCTATCCCACCCACAAACACACCAGTAAAAGCAGTCTGGTGTATGGCTGCACATAGGATCTTGATCGTTCTTTGAAATCTTATAATCCTGACGACCTTGTTTGACTCAAGGTACTGCCTTTGACTGGTAAGAGCTCACACATTTGTTCTGCTGCCTGTTATAGTGCACATCTCAACCAAGTCCATTGGCCCACTAGATTTGGTTCGGCACATATCCACTGGTGATAAACACAACATGTTGTAGCAACCACTGTTTCAATACTCTACGAGCGATATCAACCTCACAAAAATCCTCAACCGAAGTCTAGTGGAATTTTCCCTCCCACCTACCCAACACCAGAACATTAGGAAAGGCAGTATGGTGTATATATATGACTGCACCTAGGATTTTCTTCCGTGTCCTAGACGTGATCATACATCAGCAAACCGGCAGTCCGGCTGTAGAAAGGGTGCCTTGTATGTAGTACTACGTAATGCTACGTAGTGCCACGTAGTTCGGCTGTCAACTACGTAGTTCTATGTAGTTTCTGTAGCAAAAAGACGTTTTGCTGATGTAATCCTGAGGACCTTGTTCAACTCAAGGTACCGCCCTTATAACCTGCTGCGTGTCCTCTTTTTGCATGAAACACCTTTCAGCAATTTCTTGTCACTAGCAGGGGTGCAAGAAAGATAGGAAAAGCAGTACAGTGTATGGCCGCACGCGGGATTTCGTTGGAAGAACTTGAAAGAATTCAATTCTGAGGGCCTTGTTCAAATCAAGGTACTGCCCTTTACGGTCAAATCCCCCTTGCACCATTTTTTGGTGCACCTTCAACCAATTATCTGGTACTTCAAGGGGTGCAAGATGGGTAGAAAAGGCAGTATGGTGTATGGCCGCACACTGGATTTCCTTGAGTAGGAACAAAATAAATGTGTATTCAATCCAGAGGACCTTGTTCGACTCAAGGTACTGCCCTCCGTTGACTCCCAAATTTTTATTTTTATTTCTGTAAACCTTGAACCAATTCTATGCCATTAGGAGGGGTGCGAGTGGGTAGGAAAGGCAGTATGGTGTATGGCTGCACTTAAGATATCCTTAGATTTGGACACTACACATGTGGATTGTAATCCTGGGGACCGTGTTCGTGTGTTTTTCAATGGCAAATAATAAGTAAGCAATACACATACACGGGTTGGAACATCCGGACGCTGAGGGCAGAGTAGGGGAAGGAAGGATAGGATATAGTCCGGATTTTACCGCGGGGGTCCGATCAGGGTATCGGCCTATTACCAATCTTCGGAGTTTGAATCATGACGTCACGTATTCTCACGCGACGCGTCGTCCTTCCTCCTCTTCCTCTTCCCTCCCCCACGCGTCTAATCCCTATTCTATGCTCCAATAACTATGGTACCTCCTCCCCGTTGGCAGGACCCCATCGGACGACACACAATACAGACTATTGTTAAGAAACTAATTCCCAAATGGACTACAGGATTGCGACCCGTCCAAGAGGACCTGGTGTCGCCCATACTCGACGGCGATGATATACTATGCTGTACGGCTACAGGAGACGGAAAATCGGCTGCATTCTCTATTCCAATTCTCGTGCTCAACGAATATAACGCCAATCGACATCTTTATCCTCACGGCCTTCGGACGTGCCAAAATCCTGTCGGCCTCGTGATAACACCAACGAAGGGTCTCGCGTCGAATATAGTGTGTTTATAACACACTCTCTATGTCTCTCAGTGTCTGAGTCTACCCAGGTGTCGGAGCTGAAGCAGCTCGGAGTTTCTGCATTTTCCTACTGTCGTGAATCCCTCGCAGAATCGCGCCGCAACGGCATCAACCTAACTGATGAAATCAAGACCTGCGAGAAGTACCAGGTCATCTGTGTCGATCCAGAGCACCTGCGAAGTAAGGAATGGCGCGAAATCAGTGACTCCTCGATCTTCCGTGCGCATATCTTTTACGCAGCAACGGACGAAGTACATTTGATCAACACTTGGGGTTTGGAATTCCGCACAGATTTCGGACTCATTGGACTCTTTGTCCGAGGACGCCTCCCCTCGAGCATCTCGGTGGTCGGGCTCTCAGCCACGCTGGCTCCAGGCCGAGCAACAACAGCCGTATGCGAGACTTTGGGCCTCTACGGCGACGCATTTCACCTCATAAGACGAACGAACGAACGCCCTAATGTGCAATTCATTATGCAGGTTCTCGGACACGGACTTTCCGGCTATAGCTTTCCCGACTTGCTTCCATTCCTCCAGAGCGGCCGCAAGGCCGTTATCTTCTGCCCAACAATTGATATGGTGTTCCGTGTCTACGTTTTCATTTGGCGATTACAGTCCCGCACCGCCGATAAATTGCGACGCACCCGCATGTATACGAGCCTTTGCCCCGCGGAGTACAATCAAGAAACTCTGCGCTTACTCAAGGACGACCCGTACTTCCAAATTGTAATTGCAACCGTCGCGTTCTCTAACGGCATCAACGCGACAACACTGGACGATAGCATCACGCTCAGCTTTCCTGTGACTGGTGATAACGCCTGGCAAAATGGTGGTCGTGTCGGGAGAAAGCCTGGGAGTATAGGGCGTAGTGTTATGTTGGTGCAACCGAGTTCAATCGCTGCAGCAGCGAAGCAGATTGCCAGTGCGTCCTAGAGCACCATGTCATCTCGTCCACACTGATATTTGTGGCCTAGATCCCCCTTCTGCTCCGATTACAACCAAGAAACTAACCAAAGGCGGCCGCCAACGCGGCGCTGTTGTGTCAATGGATCCGCTCAAGGCGCGCCTCTTGACTGAAGTCACCTGTTTGAATGCCGTTGTAAACGACCACTATGGAAATCCGCCTCTCAACACATCCACCATCGACTGCATTGCCGCAAATCGTCCCCTGCCTTGTTCCCTCTGTCTCCCACGGAGCGGGAAAACCCTCGTTTTCGCAGCACCTCCCGATGCGCCTTGTTTTGAAGCACTTGCTATCCCGGCTCCCCCCGCACCTTCCACATTCCCTCTCCGACCACCGAAGAAAAATAAATTGACGAAGAAAGAGCGGAAACCTGCCGCCGCCGCGTTGATAGAATATAGGGACACGCTCTGTGAAGAGCAACATCTCATTGGCAACTTCACCGAACATCCCATTTCCTTATTCCTTCCATCCACCCTCCAAACCACGCTTCTTGATAAACTAATTACCCTCGAATCAAGAACCGGTTTCGACACGCTGATCAAAGACTGGCGTCACCGCGAGCTCCACGGCACTACACTATTCACTCTGATCTCTAAACTTCGCGCCGACACACATGACCAGCGCGAGGCTGCGCGGCTTGCCCGCAATGCCACACAGCGGCAGAAACGAAAGAACGGTCAGCTGCGAAAGTCGGGGACGAAGCGGAAGGCACAGTCGTCGGAGGAGAGCGAGGAGGAGCAACGAGACAGCTCTGGATCAGATTCAGATTCCTCCATGCCCGCCGCCGTACTGACTCCACCTCCGACAGTAGCCCGCAAACCGCGTAAAAGGCCCGCACTCGGCACAGTAACCAACGCACCGAAAACTAAATCAGCAAAAGTGCCCCTGCTCAGTGCGGCCGCAATTGCGAAGGAGTATGGCCCCGCATACAATGTAAACTCACGACGAAGAGGCAGAGAAGAGAATCCGCCTGCGGATGTTCGACGTAGCTCACGGTTGAATTAATGTACGTATAATAACGCGACTACATAATTTCTTCCTCGTCCAAGTAAGGGTTGATTTTGGGATCCGGAATCTCCTCCTCCGGATAAACTGTGTCGTCGTCGTCCTCCTCCTCATCTTCATCAATATGGTTCATTTTTGCAGTCTCCGGATCGCTCCACATCGCCATGGTGGAACCGCTGTCCAAACGACATCCGGTACGATCGTCCCCATCATCCTCGGGCTCGTTTGGGTCAATTGTGTTGAGTTCTGAAATGAAGGACCTTGCGCTGCCCGAGGACTGAGCGCTGGAGGTGGAACGATTCGACTTATCGCTCGACTGGGATGATGTCGAGCGAAGGGATTGCGAGGAGGGAGGTCGGGCTGAGTTCTGCTCCTGTGTGAAGGAAGATTCAGAACGTATTGAGTGAGCAGAGGAAGGTCGGGGTGAGTTCGGCTCGCTTGGGGTCGGAGATTCGGGTTGCGTTGGAATATCAGGATCAGCTGCGCCGGGATGATCTGCTGCCAATCTGTTGATTTCAGCGAGGAAATCCCCCACGCAAGTGGATTTTTCCAACCAGTCCCTCAATTTACCCTCCTCCATCCGGCGAACACCGCGCGCAAACTGATTTACCGCCGCATGGCCCATGCTGCGGCCCTCGCGAAAAAGATGCACCTCCTCCTCTTTGAACATAGTGAGAAGAAGCCGAAGCTCGTCGCGCTGGTGGGGAGAGGTGTGGGTTTTGCTACGGTGCTTCAGGGAGAATGCGGTCTCGATTTCCTCCTTCATGCGCAAGAAGTGGTCGACGTTGGGGGAGATGGTTTGCCGGTAAAACTTGTTGTCGAATTCACCGCCGTGTCGCTGAACCATATCTTCCAGCCAACGGTTGTAGTGCTCCTGTAGAAGGTCGCCGGGAATCCATTTTCCAAGCTCCCCAGAAAGGTTGAGAAGCCAATGGTCTAAGATGGCGTCCCTTAGCGCGTCGGATGCCTCGTAGCGCAAGAGGCAATAAACTTCGAGCAAGTATGCCATGTAGTTTTGATGCGACGAGCCGGCAAACTTGAAAATCCACACCTGAATCTCTATGTTAGTGAAGGTAATATGTGCAGAAAATTTGAACAAACCTTCATTATCTCCCACACCCGACCAATGTCTCCCTCGGGTACCGCAGATGCAAATTCCAGCCACCACCCAAAATCTGTGAGAAAGATCTGGCTATTTCGCAAAACTCTATCACCGTCAAAGTCCTCCTTCTCTTCATGGACCTTTGGCGCGTCGGAGTCTTTTGAAGGTGGTGGAGGGTGTGTACCATCAACTCCCTCAACAATATCGACCAGCGCCGGCATATCTGAGTCTTCTTCACCCACGTTGGAGGATGCCGCAAGGGGCGGGACCCAGGGACTCCCGTTGGGAATTTTATTGGCGAGAGCGGGGTTGGTGGAGGTGCGGGCGGATAAGGAGCGTAAAATGGCAGCCTGAGAGGTATAGCGGTCGGTGAGTGTACTTGCATCCCGCAGAATGGCATCAAGATCGGGCAATTCATTCTTTGCTGCTAGGGATTCAATATGGGCATGAAGATCGTCCACTCCAAAGAAAACTCTGCAGTCCCATTCAGTTTTCCGTTTCTTTGGCTTTCAAACCAAGATACGCACCTCCAGCAATCGAGAACATGTGCCGTCCAAATCAACGTCAAATTGCGCACAGTCGGATAGTAGTCGCAACTCTTGATATTGGACGGCCGCTTAAGACCAGCAGCGTTCGAGCATTTGGAGAGGGAGGAAGGATCGGTGCACGCAGCCGGGCCGTAGTGATTTGCTGAGGTGGAGTTCAAGTCCGTCGCGCCGGTGTGCCAAATTTCCGGTGTCGCGACCTTGTTCGGGAACGTTCCAATGGGTGCGCAATATTTTGTCAAGCGCAGGATGTTTGCATATGATGCGCCGTCGCCTCGAATCCAGAAAAGGAACGCTTTGGTCAACTCCGGATTCAAACCCATTTGGTTCTCGAAGTCCTTAACTGCGCGCTCCATACCCTGCGTCTCCGTGGACCTTTCACCATTGGTCCCCAACGGCTGCCCCTTCATTTTACGCCCTTCACGCATCCGGCGTCTGGCAACGGGAGAAGATCGGAATAGAGCCGCGATTGAGTTGAGTAATGGGAGGAAATGGGGGGAAAATTCGACCAGAACACGAGCCCAATGCAGGGGAATGACACGACGCAGGTGGGGAAAATCGAGGTCATCGAAGAGGGCATCGTGTGTCAACAAACGTCGCTCATTCTTCGCGACACGGTCGTG